GGCCAGCTGTGGCTATAGGGAGACCCTGTCTCAAAAAGACCAAAAACAAAACAAAACAAAAACAAAAACAAAAAAACAAACTTAGATAACTCAGTATACCTAATTTTATAAAATATTCCAACTGTTTTATGTAAAGGAGTTGATAGGATAGTATAAACTAAGAATCCAAGTCACGAATTAAATTGGCATTTTAAGTAAACATAAGCAGTTTCTCTAGTTATCAATCCTTTACCTATGTATTACTGCAAATTTTCTTAGTTTTTGTTCTAGCAATTTTCATTGGTGGCAAATTTGACCTTGAGATAGACATTTGCTGACTTCTTTGTTTTAAATTTTTTTTATATATTATTTAAATTTTGATGTGTATTAGTGTGTTGCCTGCATGTATGTAAGTCCACCTATGTCATGCAGTGCCCCCAGAGGTCAGAAGAGAGCACTGAATCCCCTGGAACTGGTGTTAGGATGGTTGTTAGGCACCATGAGGGTGCTGGCAATCAAACCAGGGTCATCTGTAAGAGTAGCCAGTGCTCTTAACAACTGAGCCATCTCTCTAGTCCCACTTCTCTGTATGTTAAATCATCAAAATATTTAAAACAGCCCTGTATGGGGCTGGTGAGATGACTCAGAGCACTTGCTGCTGTTCCTGAGGACCGAAATGCAGTTCCAGAGCCCATTTTGGGTGGTTCTCAATGGTCTTTAATTCCTGCTACAAGGAGATCTGATGCATACATGTGGCATGCACACACACAAATACATGAATACATCTAAATAAAAAATAAAAATTTAAAACAACCCTACCTGGCAGTTTTTTGTTCACTTGCCATCAGCCATTCACAAGTCAAGGAACATGAAGGCCATTGACTTTACCCCGTGTCAATACCAAAGTTGATGAAGATCATGACCATAATTTTGCCAAGTTTCTAAGTGGAAGTGTCATTGAACAGTATAACTAGTCAAATATAATACTCTAAAAGAACTTAGTAATGAGCAACTTATTAAAATATAGTTATTAAGAAAATAGAATTCTGGTATTAAAAGACATTCTTTAGAACACTACATCAAAAACATATGACAAGAATTACACAAAATGTGATCCGTCTATGTGATGGAGGTTCTGTTCCCAGTCTTCTCTTTACTTGGAAGTGTTATTATTGGTAGGAAAATGCATTTGTTGAGAGAAATTTATTTCTATTCCAGGCAGGAGAGAGTGACTTTCCAACAGATGAGAATGGAAAAGTCATCTTTGACACAACAGATCTCTGCGCAACCTGGGAAGTGAGTACTAGATCACAGCTCCATCTGAAAGACTGGGGTGTAGCTTCTTTATCATGAAAACTAATCACTGTAAAATTAATGACCTTAATAAGGGATGTTTTACCTAAGTTATGGTGGTTTACTTATGTTACATGCCCGTGAGGGGATAGAAATGAAGAAGAGGTTTGGCTAAAATGATAATGCAATAAAGAGCCTGATTTACTAAGGAGAGCACAGGATCCTTTTAATAGATAATGCTATCATTTTCCTTACTAGGTTCTTTCTTAAGAATCAGTTGCAACTGTGCGGGAGGCCACCCCGCAATGCGACTTGGTTCCGTCCCGCAGGACTTCCACTAAGTACCTGGATTGGGGGGTGGGGCCTTAGATGAGGCAAATGACAAGAGAAATGGAGACAAGACAGGATTCTGATCAAGTCTCGTTTATTGAAGCTCAAGCATGAGTTTTTATAGAGAATGAGAACAAAGGAACACAGACTGCAAACCATACATCAGTCAGAGCATGCGGGCTCTGACGCACATTAAGGGAGGAATCTCTGATTATAGAAGAATAGAACCGTATGCTGAAAAGGAGAGCAAGGCCGTGAGCCCCGGCTGCCTGCCAGAGTTTCCAGGCCAAGGCTGCGGGCAGAATGGAAAGCTGCCAGCTTAAGCCTGTCGGCAGTTCTGAGAGGAAACTGAGACTCAGTTGAACCTCAGGCTCCCAGGCTCGCAACACAACTGGTCTCATTTCCATTTCTTTGCAGAGTTCTTTCTAACACTCCAACCTTTGGTTAAACAAGGTTATAGTATGGCATCTTTTCCTTCTCTAGGCCATGGAGAAGTGTAAAGATGCAGGTCTGACCAAGTCCATCGGGGTGTCCAACTTTAACCGCAGGCAGCTGGAGATGATACTCAACAAGCCAGGGCTGAAGCACAAGCCTGTGTGCAACCAGGTGAGCACGCTCAGCCTCCTGTCCTTGGTCATTTGCTTCTTCCTATTCTCCTGGCAGATCTTTCTTTATGGGCTGGGACAACATAAGAAATGTTGAGTGAAGATTTCAGCTGACATTATTCCTTAGCATCTTTCAATTTCTCTTTCTGAATTATTTTATCAAATAAAGCATGAAACATATTTGTTGTGCTTATGCATTGTTCCCTTTTGTAGCAACATGGTAAGGATCTTATACTGAACACAGTAATTTAAAGTTATTATGCATATTTGATCTATAATGACAGAACTATTTTTCAAATGTTAAAGTTGAATTTTTACCAAATTTTTGTTTCATCAAAATTTTTATGGTGAACATTTGAATGGATGATAGAGGTCACTCACATTTCTTCACCTATGTCATACCAAATATAGATATGTGTTTACGTGTGTGTGTGTGTGTGTGTGTGTGTGTGATCATATTTGCATACATACATAACATTTGAAGCTGTGTTTTTCAAAGTTTCTAGCAGGTATGAACAACAACCCTAATGAATTCAGAAAGCCTCTTCTAGGGGTGAAGATATATTGTATAATTATATTACCCTTATGACATTTGAAGAAGTTAACTGATAGTCTATCATTAATTTTCAGTTTAAGAAAATGTCATTATAATGTGTCACCTTAAATTGTACCCAAGTACCATGTAATGGCAGTTTGTCCCATTTTTAGTGATGTTCTATTTGATTACTTGATAATACGAGTACCAGCCAGATGCTTCAGTTTTAAACATGTTTTTCTCCTTTGAAATTAGCAGGATATTGATATACAGTAATTGTTGATATGAACTGCTTTTTCATGACTAATCTTCATGCAATAGTTGAGAATTAATCAATGATTTTGCATGAGTTAGTCACTTTTTGTCCCTTGGAAATAATAATTTTCATTTTAGCTACTCTATTGACTTTTCTTAGGCCTACTTGTTCGGTATGAACAAATGACAATTATTTCCACAAGATAAATAAATGTTAAGTTTTTGTTGGTGTTTCATAAAGGAGCTAAAATAGTAATCACTATCAATCAATATGGGCATATGGCTTCATTCTTTATCTTCATGTATGCTTAAAGATTTTTTCTTTTTTGGTGAATATTAGTAAATAATTGTTGATTTTTACTATCTGTATGTATTAAAATTGATTTTTACCCATTTTTCCTTTTAATAATGAATTCTACCTAAATGACATTGTTGGGATGTCTACCCAATGGTCTTTCATTCCTCAGACATTCCCTATGATTGTTTGATCAAAACCTGTTCTATTTCTCTTTTCAATAATCAAAGCGAGTTCATTCCCTGTTCCACATCCAGGTTACTCATGAATCTTCGGAGTAAAAACAGGTGTTTGCAGCCATTACACAGGATATAGGGCTGGCTCATCTCAGAAGTGTTATTTCTTCAACTGTTCACATCAACATAAATATTAATTAAAATGTAATCTGGAGTAATCAATGGAGTAATAGTTGAGGAGATGAGGAAGGAGAAGGGAGTTGATTATGGTCAAAATGCACAACAAACTTCATGGAAATGTCTTTCTGAAAGTCATCACTATGTGCAATGAATATGCATCAGTTAAATTATCTAATCACGTGTCTGGTGAGATGACTCAGTGGGTGAAATGCTTGCTGCCAAGCATGATGATTTGAATTCCATCCAGGACTCACGTGGTAGAAAGAGAACTGAAATCCACAAGTTACCCTCTGAAGTCCACGTGTGCACTGTGGCATGTGTCTACCCACTCCCCACTCCTCAAAATAAATAAATGTGAAAACATATATAATTGATATTTTCCTCTCTCCCCCCCCCCCTCATTCTCTTCCTCCTCCACTTTCTCCTTCTCCTTTTCTTCTGTTTTGGATTTTGAGGTATGGTTTCACTCTGTAGCCCAGACCAAGCTCGTCTGAAACTCACTACATAGCTCAGGATGGCCTCAATTCATGGCAATTTTCCTGCCTCAGCTTCCTAAATGCTCGAGCTACAATAAGCCACCACACCAGGGCTGATGATGATATATTTAATTCATATTACACAGATTTTTACTAATTTGGCTTCTTCTGCTTTTAATATTTCTTTATGTTAATATGATATTTCATATAAATTGGTATGTTCCTATTTTATCCATCTGTAGGTAGAATGTCATCCTTATTTCAACCAGGGCAAACTTCTGGATTTTTGCAAGTCAAAAGACATCGTTCTGGTTGCTTTCAGTGCTTTGGGAAGTCACCGAGAAAACCGATGGTAATATGGACAAATGAGTATCAAACCTAAGGAAAAATGGCTGATTAAATACTTTTCATACCATGATCCTAAAGATTTCGTGGTTCAGTCTGTTTCGTTATTAATTCCTTGATAATTCCACACAATCTATTTTCATCATACTCACCACCTCCTCCCTGATCCACCAACCCCTTCCTTTCCCACTCAACTTTGAGTCCTCATTTGTTATAAAGCCCATCAAATCCAACACAGTCGGTTACATGGCCATCCCCGGAACTTGGTGGGCCTTGCAGAGACCACACCCACAAGGAAAACAGACTCTCACTCTCTCAAAAGTTATCAGTTGCCAACAACTGGGAATGGGACTTCCTGGTCACATCCCCTCTCTATTTTGGTCTTTTGCCTGGCTTGATCTTGCTTATGTGTGCTGTCACAAAGTCTATGAGATTATACGTGTACTTGCCCCATTGTATCCGGAAAATACTGTAGTCATCCTCCACTTCTGGCTCTGACGCACTGTCTGCACCCTATTCTGTAATGATCCCTGAGCCTTAGGAGGAGGGGTGTGATTTAGATGTCCCGTTCTTAATTGAACTGGAAACAGAAAGAATTAGTATTTAGGAGGGAATAAAAGATGATAATGGTTTTTTTAGGTTCATGGAACAAATTTTGGCACCATGGTTCATGTATTCACCGTCACATGTATTGCCAGTGTCCTAACAAACCAAATGCATAGGTGGCAGAAGTTAGTGTTTCTGTCTTTCCCTCCAGGGTAGACCAGAATTCCCCTGTTCTCTTGGATGATCCAGTTCTTGCTTCCATGGCAAAAAAATACAAGCGAACGCCAGCCCTGATTGCCCTTCGTTACCAGATTCAGCGTGGGGTTGTGGTCCTGGCGAAGAGTTTCACAGAGAAGCGCATCAAGGAGAACATACAGGTGCGGAGTGCGGCTGTGGGTGTTGGGCATCTCTTGGAACTGTCATAGAGCTCTTTGACAGCTCGGGAGATTTCTATGATTCTAGTTAGTTTTCCTTACACTTCCCATTCCTGTGTGCTCTACAGGCATTTCTAGTGGTTTAAACCCTGCTCTTTAGAAGCACCATTGTTTGAATCATTAGAAACAGATTTTGTACTGAGCATCACACTGGCAATATAACCAATAACCTGTGTGAGTGATATGGTCTTTTCATCATTTTCTGAAATGAGGCAACTGAGACTAGGTGAATTTTAGTCTTTAAATTAAATTATTTGTGTTTTATTTTATATTTCTTGCTCATACATATATTTTAGTACTCAGGTATTTTCACTTTGCATATCGTCTGATGTCAAGCACCTTTTTGATTCTTGGCCACTTTGAAAGTGATTGTCTTTTCATTTCAAATAGGAGATGATTTATACTGTGAATATTAGTTGTGGTAAAATCATATCCCCCCCATAGACTCCAGGCAAATGTCATTTATTTAGCTCATTGTTGCAGAGTTAGAACTTTGTGTTTGCTGATCTGACTTCAGTCGGGTCATTCTGATTTTGGCTGGGCTCTTTCTCATAGCTGCAGTGAAGCATCTTATGAATTTGAGGAGCAGTGAGGTATCTCTGCTCCAGGATACAGATTTTACTGTTGTTTGTAGGGCTGGTTTCTCTATTTCAGAATTTCTTCCTTCTGCCAACCAACTGTTTCTTTACCTGGTCACATTGCACAATTCAAAGATAATTTCTCTGTACTTGGAAAGTGTTTTCATGTCTAGACTTAGATCAGGACCACCATTCCTTCTGGAAATTGAACTAGTAATATAGACTGCAGGCCAGGGAAGTCTAAAGAAATGTGGAAATAGCTTCTTCTAGTTCCTAGTGTAAGAAGATCTACATTTACAAAATGAGGAATGTGGACACTGGAATGCATGATCTTGGCTGGGCTCTCTCTCGTATCTGTAGTGAAACTTATTATGCATTTGAGGTGTAGTGAGGCCCTGAGACAGGTGGTGATTGTATTACTGTTAACAGGACTGATGTCCTAATTACTTTTCTTAATTTTTGTCCTCTTACCAACCATCCCCGGCTTCACCCATCACATTGTGCAATTCCAAGATATTTTCTGAACACTTCTAAAGCATTTTCATGTCTAATCTTATATCAGGACACTGAATCTTCTGGAAAATTCAGTTGTTAAAGTGGACTACAGGTCAGGGAAGACTCAAGACATGTTGAAACAGCTTCTTCCCCCTCCTAATATAAACAGCTCTGCAGACACAATGCAGTGTGCAACTGGAAGACTGAAGTAGAGGACACAATCTTACAGTCTATTTATTACATTTTTGTAATCTGCAAGTCATTGGCCTTGGGTTCCTGCGTTTGTTGTGGTATTAACTTTTCCCATTTGTGTGATAGGTTTTTGAATTTCAGTTGACTCCAGAGGACATGAAAGTCCTTGATGGCCTGAGCAGAAACGTCCGGTACATCATTGGTGCCCCGTAAGTAGCTTCAGTAAATATATTTTGCTCAACTTTTTTTTTCTGAGATGAATATAACATACTTGTTAAAAGTTACCTTAATTGAAATATGGAGGACAGAGGCTATCTTAAATCATGAATGAGACAAAAGATTTCTAGAACTCTCTTGAGCCTATTCAGAGTTCTGTCCTTTGTCGCTGCAGCAAGGTAGGTGGCCCAGGGTCATCCGGGTTTGCTGCACCTGCTGCTGTGCATCTACTTCATGGAACATTCCGGGTCAGTCAGTATCACTACTGAATCTATACCTCTATGTTGGTTCTGCGTCTTTATGTTCTGTGGATAAGCACCCCAGGCATTTCATCAAAGCTATAAAACATTACCAAAATCAATACCCCACCATTTTTGAAAACACTGCTGAATTTCTGCTTGCATTACATTTATGGATAATCACTCTGCAGTCTGTTTTCCGCCCTATGAAATTGCTCATTGAATTCAGGCAATTTAATATTTTAATAACTTGAAAACGTCACTTCCTTTATTCTGCACATTTGTTCAGGTCCTGTTCACTATATTTGTGTTGATGATCAAGGAATTGCTGGGTTCAGTGACTCACTTGGTATTGATTTTCTGGAATATGGCAGTCTCAATCTTGAGGATTAAGATGTTTTACAGTCTAAGATTTTCACCCAGAGGTTAGTGTGGAGTAAACATCTCTCTGCTGTGGAAAAGTTCCTGCCAACATGAAACCCTTCCCTTCCTTCATGCTGTTCAAGTCCCATAAAGTGAGATAGAAAGTATTTTATTAATGAGGGAAGAAAAGTAACATGTACTTCCTCTCCCACTGGGAAATTTATTTCTAAAAAGGTGTAGGTGTGATAATTATGAGACTTGATGAGAGTGAAGTCCAACTGCATAGAATGGAAGATTGTCAGATATATTTCAATCACTGCTGCTGCTTATTATTATAGGGAAAAGCAAAAAATAGTTTAATATTTCAGAGATGGAACAGTAACCAGTCAGCTAATACTATTAATATTACAAATTAATGATTAAGCATTTATATCCCTGTGTAGCATGTGTGACTATTGTGGTATGAAGATCTGTAGTTATCTCCATGAATATGGAGTTTCATTTCATGCACAGTATTCCTTCAGTTAAAAAAAACATTTAGTACTTTTTATTTCTGTGTATGAGTGTTTTGCCTACATGTATGTAAGTGTATCAGAGCTGTGCAAAGCCTACAGAGGCTAGAAGAGGGCATTAGAGTTCCTGGAATTGGAGTTACAGATGGCTGTTAGCTGCAGTATAAGTGCTGGGACTCAAGCTCAGTCATCCTAGAAGAGGCCAGGGCTCTTGGCCTCTGAACCACCTCTCCGGCCCCATTCCTTAACTTTTTATCTTCGTGTGTGTGTGTATTATGTGTGTATGTACGAGTGCATTCTTGTGAACCAATTCAGGTGCATGCATGAGTGTGCCGTCACATCCGTGTGGTAGCCAGAGTACAACCTTAGATGTGGTTTTCACCTACTTTCTTTGATACAGAGACTCTTGTTTTGAGCCACTGTGTGCCAGGCTGCCCATGAGCCTCAGAGAGCCTCTTGTCTCTATCTCCCATCTTTCTGAAGAAGTGCAGGTACTACAGATGTATGTCACTGAGTCCAGCTTTACAAAGGTGCTGTGAACCTGAACTCATGCTCCATGCTTGCACTACAAGTGATTTTTCTTCTGAACTATCTCTCCAATCCATTCTTTTTGTTTTGGAAGCAAAACTAATATACTGAATGTGGTAGGCAGCTAACAAATAATCAGTTAGGAAATTGATACAATAATTTGGAACTTCCTAAAGTATTTCCTACTGCAGACTATGTAGATGGGATTGATCTTTTTTTTCACTTAAATTTTTGAAAAGTAAAATATTTTATTTGAAAGTTATGAATAGTAGTATTTTATTTTTAAGAATGTCATACATGGGTATTATATCTGCTTTATTTTATCCTTCTCTGGCACTCTACAACACTTCCCACGTCTCCCACTCCCTCTCAATTTCTTGTACTCTGATTATTATTGTTAAATATACATCTATATTTATAATTATATATATATTCATTTAGTGGTGCTTATGTGTACTCATGTTTAATGCATTCTAGACATGATAGGGAAGCTACATGAATGCAATCTCCACTGTATGGTAGTCTAACAAGATGCGCAGAGTGACAAAATCAGTTGACACGCCAAGGTGGATGGGGGAAATTTCATGGGGAACCACCTCAAGATGAAGAGCTATAGGCAATAAATGGATGCTGAGGGACAGAGAATCAGTTCTTTCCAGGTACTAGCTTCCTGTGAGGCTATCTAATCCCAAAGGGCTTGTTATTTTAAAAATAAGGTGATTAACTGCTGATTTAATTAAAAATTGTAATAATGAGAACTAGTTATCTCTTTGGTTTCTTGGTAGATACATGTTTGGCCATTTGTCTCTGTATTTCCTGTGTGTTAGGACTCAAGGAGAAGAGCATTACATGCATAATTTAGTTTTTGTTTAATCACTTACAAAGTTATCCTTAGGAAAGTTCTAGAAAACAAAATTCTATACATTCTGTACATTTACTCCAGCAGCATAGGCATCACTCCTGCTAAACCCAGTAACCTCAAATCTATTATGCTTTACTCTTTGTCTTTCTAGTTTTGCTGGCCATCCAAACTTTCCATTTTCTGATGAATACTAACACAAAGACCCTGAACCTGCCTTCTACCGGAAGCCCCTCTAGGTGGGTGTTGCCCTGGGCGGATCCTCAGCCTCTGCTGATTACACATCTCACCCTAATGCTGCTGAGAAACTGAGACTGGGCTGAAGCTGCAGCCATAGCCCAGAAAGCAAAAGTCGTACATATTTGTCACCTTCTGAAAAGAAATAAAAAGACTCTCTGCATCAATGTTAATCTATGTGAGTCTCTGATGTTTGAATATTTTGTTGTTTCCTGACCCATTGGGATTCCGAACTGGTTTGCCTAGAAATCATTGTGCAGGGGATGGTAGATGATAACAGGCATTTTATAAACATTTCCAATGTTATGGTAACTAGTGTTAGCCATTGGGGAGTATCACTAAGCAAATATATAGTAATTGCCGTCTGTTATGGAACAAGAAAGCACACCACGTGGTCTGGAAGATGAAGCACACATGAGAAGGTGACATACTGTATTAATACAGTAACCTTTCTGTCACTGTGATAGCACATCATGACCAAGGCAGTCGTTGGAGTAAGAGTTCATTTATTCTTACACTTCCAGAGGAATAAAAGTCCATCATAGCAGGGGGCAGGTAGCCTTAGGAGAAGGCCAAGACCTGGCACCTTCAACAGTAAACAAGAAGAAAAAACAGGGAGGCAAGGCTGTGAACTCTCAAAGTCCATCCCCAGTGATATGTTTCCTTATTTGAGGTTACCGGGGACATTATTATCCACAGCACTATACCTAGAGTCTCAGAATTCCTCCAGGAACTTGGCATTGAAGTCTCCTTGGGGGAAGGGGGACAGTAAGCTGAAGGAGAAACCAACCTTCAAGGATCATGAGGACTCAGATGTAAGGAGATTGAGCAGAAGCATATTGAACATGCCTTTACTTGAAAAGACTGATAAACACACTTTTCAAATTATGTCCTGTTGATAAAAGGATGCTTTTCATGTAATAAACCATAGTCAGTGTTGTATGTCAAACCTGGAGCTCTAAGATGTGCCAGGGACATTGGCATTTAGGCCCTTTACTGAACTTACCAATATATTTAATATTCTATGTCTTTTCAGAACATTTTTGTCTTTGCCACTTTATTGAAATCTGTTTTAAAGCTTCTCTTTGGGGACAAATCAGCTTACTTGACTAATGGTATGCTTGTAAATTCCTAAGGGTAATGAGGCAATAAAAAAATAAGAAAAAAATGCAAAACTCCGAGGAAGTTGTATGATCTGAGTGATTCATAGATGTTAACAAGAGATGACTGATTCTTGATAATATCGAATAGGTTAGAATTTCAGTTATGTTTGAGGACTTAAGAACTGGTACATTATTATTTTGAATTTCTTAGTTAGGAAAATGGTGAACCAGGCACAGCTGGTGTGAGATTGCATGTGCTGGCTGGGGGTGAAGTAGGGAGTGATTGGAATCTCAAGTAAGGTTCCAACGATTCACCCTTTACCTCTTCCATTAGGGGATATCAGCAAACCTAGATTTTTAAGGGTCTCTGCCGGGTACTCACAGGTGGTCTGATTTCAAGATGGCTCATTGTTAAACTTGACACACACATATAAACAAAGGTATCAAGGAGCATGGGTAGATGTCAATAGAAAACTCCCCAAAGAACAAGAACATGAACAAAGAACATGAAATAAAGCTACAAATCTAGAATATTCAAATCTATGGGACAATTATAAAACAGGTGATGTTTCTGCCATGGAAACACTGAAGAAGAAAGAGATAAATGCTAATCAGTCTGATTTGGTTGGTCTTCAGAGTCTATGTGGTATCCAAATATCTCAGAACTTCACTAAAACATGCCATAAATACGTATCAATAAAAAAGATTCTAACTTCAGAGAAGATAAGCACATTGCTATCTAAAATTTCACATTTAGGACTGAGGTTCTAGCTCAGTTAATACAGCACGTGCAGAGCAAGCACAGAGACTGGAGTCCAGATCCACAGAACCCATGTAAATGTCAGGCAGGTGTGGTGGTTGCCGGTAGTCCCACCACTGGCGAGACAGAGACAGGATCAGAGAGGCAAGATACCTAGATAGACCAACTGATTTGCAAACAGGAGGAATGCTTAGACGAAATGAGCCTTCTACATCACATACCACTCTTCCCAAGGGCAAGCGATCATTATACGAGCAAGGTGCAGCACAATTATAAGAACCGGAAGTGGTGGATGACTGCAAGGAAACAGAGTTTCCTGGACAAAACAGGACAGTTTCCCAATATGAACTCACAGAGGTTGTGATGACATGCACAAGACCTGCACAGGATCAAGCCAGACAAAATCCTAACATGGAGAAGGGAGGTGCATAGAACGTCCCACCCCTAGCCGAGGAGCTATTGAAACTGATAACTTCTGGGGAGGAAGCATCAGTTTTCTTTAAAGGTGTTCCCCCCTTGTAGGACCATCATGCTCCAGTGGATGATTTCACACCCAGGAGTTTATGGAGAAGACAATCTAGACTCAACGGGTTAAAAAAATAAGAAGGCACAAACTTTGGGAGGGTGTAGAGCACTGGGTAGTGACTTTGATTAAAACACATTTTGTGAAATTCTCAGAGTTAATGAAATAAAAAATTCTGTAAAAATACAACATGCAGTTATTGCTTTATAAGTCTCAGTTCACATGGACTATGGACTATCTTGACTTCTTTGATTGCCTGGTATAACTTGTGAAACTTTTTCTGGCTCTGTAAATCATTCATCATGTTTATAAAGGGAAGGCATTATGAGAATTTTTTGGCATCAAATAAAATTAACTAACTTATATGAAGTAGAGAAGCTATTGAAATGTTCAAAATATCCATTCAGTTATATTAAAAAGGGGCCTTAAGTATTTCTTATTGAATGGATTGACCACAAGAATTAGGCAGAAACTAATTTATCTGTTCAGTGAAATGCAATCCAGATGATGAACACTATTAGTGCTTGATCAGCTTTGTCTCCTAAGTAATCTACACTATTCACAAGATTATTCATAACAACCAAGCACGTAAGTGGATAATTCCACATCCAGGAGTATATGGACAACACAATTTGCACTCAATGGGTTATAAAAAAAGAGGATACAAATTTTGTGAGGGTGGAGAGAATTGCAGGCGGTTAATCAATTTAGAGTCAATGAAAGAAAATCAAGATACGAAAGAATTTTTTCCCCCTATGGCTATAAGTTTCTAATTAATAGAAAGATGCCAGACTATTAGGTAAAATAAACTCATTAAACCATTACTTATTAATCAACCATAAACCCTATTCTTCAACCTCTATTATCTCTGGACTGCTTTCCATAACACAAAGTTGTAGGTTCTTGCTTGCCAAGGTCACTGAAAAAATCTTTAAGTGGGTTAAGTGGAGCCCTACGTCATTCATATCCAGTGTCTCTGAAAATAAGCCAGTTGAATCTTCAGACATATTTCAAATACACTGTCAGCATGATACTCTTTTCCTGGCTGATTAAAGTAAGCTTCTATAAATGTATACAAATACAAGATACTTAAATTTTAGAATGACACAACCTAGTTGTTACAACCAAGTTAATTCGGTTATGTGAATGAGGAGTCTGAGCCATGATTAGCTTTGGCATGATAAGTAGCTGGACTTGATAGAAAGCCTATGCTATTTGTTATCTTCATTAATGTCTTCTTATTGGTTCCCAACTTCTACACAACTACAGGTTTGTATAGAGGAAACATGAAAATGCGCCCGTGTGTGTGTGTGTGTGTGTGTGTGTGTGTGTGTATCTTTTTACCCTAGTGAAAAAAGTATAGAAGGCACAGCAGGCAGAGCCATGTTGTTGCCCTGGCTGTCTTTCCCCTGGCTCTCAGACCCACAGCAGGCAGCGTATTGCCCTCAACCTGGCCACCCTTGGACTGGCTGCCCATGACCCCCACCAGGAATGAGAGGGTGCAAATTCGACCAAGGTAACCAAGCAATGGGCACAAGAATGTGATTGCAACCACCCTGCCACACTGTACCCTGGAGCACATTTTCTGTCTGAGCCTGGCCATGTGAGAGTCCACTGCACAGCACACCCATGGTCAGCCCAGCCATCATCATCATCCAGTGGCTGTCAAGACCTGGATGCAGTCATCCAGCACAATAGGAACCTGAAAGTCTACGTATTTCAGAAAATAAACTAGAGGTCATGGGTGTAAATCTATTGGGTGATCCCAAATGACACTCAGAAAATCTTGGGTTGGAGGCCTGGGAGCTAAGTGTTGCCTTTTGTGAGGACACAAGTCTTCTTTTACCCACAGTAAAACCCTGTGAGGAGTCTACTTGTTGGACAACATCTTGGACCACAATGGGGTGATTGTACTGAGTGCACAACCAAAGTGTAACCTGCATGCACTCAGGATGCAAATAATTAACTTTGATGAGGAAACATCCAGGAGTTCTGAATGCTGGTGAAGAGAAATCCTCTTCTGACAACCTTAAACAGTGCTTAAGAAACCGAGTGTGAAATTTTCCATCCCAAGAAACCTGGGCTTATTCTGACCCCAAACCACATACAAAGGAGAGGAGTGGGCTCTTCTTTTAGCCCATCTCTGTGTAAGAATTATAGATTGCTGACATTCTAATGAGATATGATCTCTCTTGCACCCAGTGCAGATGTGCTGTGTAAGATGGATGGAGTTTTTCCTTTGCTAATAAGGGACAGGAATGGGGGTGGGCAGAGATAAGGTGAAGGCGAGGATAAGGGAGGGGGTCTGAATATCATCAAAACACATTGTATGAAATACTTGAATCCACAAAATGAAAAAAGTACAGGAAACGTTGAAATGCTGGGGAATTTCATTATGTACTGGTCATTCACAATAGAGTACAATAATTTCTGGTTTCCTCACATGCCCTGAAAACTGAGAGCATGGATGAGAACCACGGATATTCAGAACAGGTGTGTGTGTGTGTGTGTGTGTGTGTGTGTGTGTGTGTGTGTGGTCGACCAAGAAGTACCTGTGGTAGCAGGTGGCAGGGGGCGCGGTGTCTCATTGGACCCTGGGTTGAGCAACTAGGGGGTCACCCAAGACTTTAACCACAATCTATGAAACATTAAATGCCAATTAAAGCCCAAGTTATTCCTATTTCACAGAAGTATGCTTTTCAGGTTCCAAAAGAATTAAACACTAATTACAGAAGACTGAAAAGCATGGTGAAGAAATTTAAAAACTAGCTCATGATCTTCCAGTTGAGGAATAATCATAATTTGTATTTTATATCTGCCCATTTTGTAAGGCGTATTGTGTGGACATATGAAGTACTCATGTTAATGTTTTCTTTTCTGGTTCTATTTAGCACATGAAGGAGATCCAGTCTGTATTTTACAATTACTGCATATGTTTATACATGCTCATATAAAAAGTGTTCATTTTGAATCACTTAATCATATTTTATTGCATAAATATATCAGTTTGTCAAATACTCCAAAATTTATAATCATTGAGATGGTTTTCAGTTGTTAAATAATGGTCAACAAGCTCAAAAAGTCCATGGGCTATTTTTTTTGTATACTTAACCAATATTAAAAGTGATATAACAGATGTAAGGAATGAGGAACTCTTGAGTGCCTGGCATCCTTCAGAACAACGTGGAACACTTGCTGACCATCATCCTCCACTAAGAGCACGAGGCACTCACCACCTTTCCACTGTGCTCTTGTCAAGACTGCAGCCCAGTGAGCAATGGATATTTTAATTGTAGGGCAAAGACAGAAAATACAGAACATATTTTGTCAGTGGGAAAATGAAAAACTATAGTTTTTCCTTAAATCTATGTTTTTATTCTTTTTGGAGACTCAAAATCTGAGAAAGAAGCTGCATACTAGTTTTTTTACCATTAGGTATATTTTTCCTCTTGTGTTCTAAAGAAACTGACATCACAAGAAGAAAATAAGGAAACGTGAATCTCAGATTTTCTAGTCAGAAGCAATAATTTTTTGATAAATATCTAACAATTAAAAATGCTACATTGAAGTTTGTAGCAAAAATACAGTGAAATCATAATAGTATTTTTAAAACTATCTTTCCTATAAATATGTGAACTAGCTTTCAATCCCTCCTTATAGATGGAGTGACTCAGCTCACTCCTTTCTTATATCATGAGCTAATCATTAGCTAGCTAGTCAGGCAGGAACTTGTAACTCCACTGGCCTTCAAATAAGAACACAAACGAAGTTGGCTTAGCCAGAGGCCTGTGCAATGAAGAGCTCAAGATATCAATGTGTGGAACTAAATGATGGACATTTCATTCCTGTGCTGGGCTTTGGTACTGCTATACCTTCAGAGGTAAAAACAGTGATGCTGGGTTGAGGGTTCAGGAGCAATCGAACCAGGAGGAGTGGAATTCCACCTGACTTGCAAAGTTAGTCAATTCCTGTGGACTCTGGAGTTCATGAGGGGTTTTGTTTAAGAAGCTTTTGCTATGTAACACAAGAAAGAGAAAGCCCATGCTCAGAGACAGAGCGTGATTGTGTGTGCGCCTGCTGATTATCCTGGCACCCTTGTTTTCCTTTTGTTTAAGTCTACTTCCTTCTGTTTCACCACCTGGAAGTGAATATTATTAAGCCATTTTTATGTTTGCTTATATTTATATTTCTCCTTTGGAACAGTGTCTGTCAGATCAACTATCCACTTTTAAAACTTGGATTATATGGTCTTTTGAATTCCTTACATAGTTCAGATACTAGTCTTTTATGAAAAGACTGGTTGACAAATCTTTCTTCCTGCTCTGTCGATTTTCTATTCTCTCAGTTGATTGTCATCTTTACTATGCAGAAGTTTCAAAGTTTGATATGATCCCATTTTTCTTTCTATTACCATTTCCTGTGCTTTATAAGAACAGATTAAAAATACTTATTACCTGAACAGATATATGATCTAATTGTTTTATGTAGTTTTATAGCTTGTGGACTTAACATCTTTGATACATTTTGAAATGATATTGGCATAGTGTGAAATTTTGGGCCCTTGCTTCAATTTCTGCCTGTCATTAAATATTATTATATACCAATATTGTGAAGACATGGAATCTTCTCTGACGCACAGTTTTGGTGTCTGTGTCGATCAGGTGCCTGTAGAATCGCTAGTTCTTTCATGATCTACCCATTCTCTTCCAGTGGTCTACATGTACATTTTTTATGTCATTATTTTTCTTTGGTTTCTAAACTATGTGGTATGATTCACAAATCCAAAGAGAAAATAAATTTCATCTCACCCCATTAGAATCGTTATTAGCTATAACATTCCCTATCATAAGTGCTAATTAGAATTTGATTTGTAGCTTCAAGAACTGCTGTATCGTTATGGTATAAATGCAAATGCGTTGAAACAGCATGGAGAAGATGTGGAAATTCTCTGAAGTACAAAAATAGATCTGTCCAATTATCCAACTTTTCCACTTTTGTGCCAATGTCTTGCTGTAGGAATGAGGGGTATTTCTGGATTTTTCAGTGCTATTCCGTTGATACACATCCTGGTTAGGTGCTCGTACTGACTATGGTTATTGTTGCAGAACTGAGCTATACTTTACAATGAAGGAGTACAACTTCTTCCACATTATTTTCTTTCAAGCTTGCTAAGTCTATTCAGAGTTGGTTTTTTTTGCATATTTCATATGAATCTTTAAATAACTACAATTGTTTTACTTGTAAGTAACTTCGTAAGAACTGTGATAGAGTGCTAAGAATTTCAAGATCTTTCTTGAAAATCTTGCCATTGTAACAATGTTAAGGATTCCAATCCACTATAATATTTCGATTTTTTTTCATTTTTGCGTTTACTAATTTTAATTTTAAAGAATTTTATGGCTTTTGGGGTACGTTTAAACCCTTTACCTCTTTGGTCTTATTTAAATGAATGTTTTTCTTTATTTCTCATCTGTTTATTGATCATATAGTTACAAACTTTTTTGCACGTCTTGCATTTCAATTTAAATCCAATAAACTAAAAAACTGATCAGCTGTAAATGTGCTTGACAAATGCGTAGGATTTTCTGCATGTTGTAATAGTAAGCACAAGGCACAGAGGAATACCACCACATAGTGATGGTCTACTTAAGAGTCTTTTTACAGTAGCCAATGGTGGAGAGGGGCTATCACCAGAAAGAACTCTTACCTACAAGGAGAAGCAGGGCAGGGTTACAAAGCTCACAACCACAATTAGGTCATGGAATGGGCCAAGCCAATAGCCATAGTTACCTCAGACCACTGTAGTTACACCAGGGCAGAGACAGGTCACTTAACAAAGAAGTTTTCAGTTAACAAAAAATTTCTGTGTTTCACTTGGGAAAAAGTTTTCTCAGAATTGCAGAAACAATGGACTCCATGGAGATGCAGGTATAGCTGGAGGTCAGGACATTTTCCTGGCTAGTTGTAAGTTTCCAAGTAGTGTAGAAACAATGTACTCCCTGAAACTGCACAGATTCAACCTCCATGGAGGCCATCCTGACTAACTGACTGAAGTTACCATGAGCAGGGAGGAGGAGGGTGGGTGGGCAGAAACATAGGGTAAAGCAAAAGTCAGCTAGAACAAAATTGAGTCAGTTTTGCCATTTTAATATAAAATCATGCTTCTTTTGATCAAAGTTATTTTTATATTTTCCTTTTTAGATTTCTTCTTTTTTGTCATTTTCCCACCTCTACTCAGGTCTGATTTTCCCACATTGTGTTGAATGGAATTGGGGGCGAAAAATGGCCCCAGTCAAGATCTCCATTTAGGAAGAATCTTCAAGAGCTTTAGCATTGCATGTGATAATGTTTGCTTTTTTTCTGTCTGTTTGTTTGTTTTTGTTGTTTTGTTTTGTCTTTTTGAGACAGGATCTCCCTGTAGCACCAGCTGGCCTGGAACTTACTATGTGGACTAAGCTGGTCTTAAACTCACAGAGATCTGCTTGCCTCTGCCTCCTGAGTGGCACCAGGCTGCTTTTTTTTCTTAACTCATACCTTGAATTACATTTATATAGTTCCTTTTATTCCTATTTTGTTGACTATTTCCTGAAAAAAAGGAATATTGTCAAATATAGCTTTCCATCAGTTGAGAAGATCATCTTTATCTCATTCTGTTCATGTGCTGTCTTCTACCGATTATATTTTGTGTGTTCTATAGTATTTGAACTATGGGCATGAATCCCACATAATGTCACATCACTTTAACACACTTTTTATTTTGGTTCACTAATATTTGTGAGAATTTGCACATGAATATTCATGTTCCAACTGGCCTGGAACTCACTATGTAGACTAGCTAGACCTCAGTCTCACAGAGATATGCCTGACTCTGCCTCCTGAGTACTAGGATTAAAGACACGCATTACCACACCCAACCATTTTCAGCTTTTTATAGAGTATGTGTCTAGCTGGTAATCCTGATCTCATAGAAAGTCTTAAGAACGTTTTCATCTTCTGTGATTTTGTTTTTGGAAGACTATAGAAATCATTTTCTCTAATTCTTTCTAAATCGTTTCGTTGCTTAGTATTCATTGGAAGAGCTAAGTACTATCTTAATCGGGAAGTTTCGTATTATGAGCATTATTGTTTGCTGTAGCTCTGTTTAGATGAACTGCTTCATGGAAGCAACTTCAAAAGCTGTTGTTGAGATAAGACAACACTGAAACTTCAGTGTACTGTAGCAAGTGCCCTTCACCAGTTTGTGCTACAAATATCAGTATGATTGGGTTTGTGTTGTGTCCTCCAGACACTGTCTACTTAGAGACGTCATAAGCAATGGATTCTATGCTTCAGTATGTGCACGTAAATGACGGCTCCTTTATCACTGTCCAGGCTTTGGGATCTGTAACCGTGCAGAAGCTTTAACAGTGATGTCTGGGTTGAGAATTAAAAGGAATGTAGATTAGAATGAGTGGAGTCGACATGGGTAGTGAGTCACTAACTTTCTATGTGGCCCTGGGGAGCTAGCTCATATTCTGTTCTAGCAGGCTACAAATATTCCGTGCACAAAAGAGAGACCGAACCTCGTCAGCATCAGAGGATGGTAGTGAGCTCGGCTCCTGATTACTTTGGTACCAATATTTTCTTCTTTTTCTGTCTGTTTCTCGGTTAAGCAGAAAAGGTGAAACCTGATGGCTAAAGCTTTTAGGCATATTTTAAAAATACACTTGTTGGCCATTTGTGTTTCTTATGTTTAAAAGTATTTATTCAGATAGTTGTGCAGTATGAAATTCATTGTTTTTATTCAGCTTTTTAAGTTTAAAAATATATTCTGAGCATTAATTCTTCAAGAGTGCTCGGCAAATATTTACTCCTGTTGTGTCAACTGACCCTTCACTTATTTGCTCTTTAGACACTGCAGAACTTCAGATAATGGTGTTGATCTATTTCTGTTGGTATTCCCTGTACTTTGGGAAAGGCATAGTCCAAAATTATTTATTAGACCTTGCTGTCATGTGATTCCTGTTCCCGTTATTCTAGCACTTCCAAGTTTAAGGTCTTACATTAAGGCATATTCCCTATGAGTTGATATCTGCTGAAAATAAAAGTTAGATGTCAAGAATTAATCTCTGAATATGGGTATTTAGCCTTCCCTGCGTCCTGTATTGATAGTAATATGACAGAGTACATGAAATCTGGCAGAGGGTAGTAAGATGGGTGCAGATATGGGAAGGGGTCTAAATACCATAAAATATATTGTATTATATTGAAATTCACAAAAAGTCAATAAAATTTAAAAATGAAATCTTAAAAGGTAAATAACAATTTATGTTTCTCATTCTTCAATGTGGTTCTATGTTTATCCAAATTTAGTCTACGGGACAACATTTTTAATCTTACTCTAATACAATTTCTAAAATTTATATACAAAACAGTTTAAAGATGACATCTACTTGATGGCTTTCTTACATGAAGGGTATAATTTTTAATACATGGATCTGTTTCTTTGAGTACACATCTTTAGTGTTAGCATTTACTTTTCTTATGAAAAGAGAATGTTTTTATTGTTTTCAAGGATCATGTAACATACTGCTCTATACTGGCATTCCTATTGACATACTGAGCCTTAGATGATACCTGGAAACTGATTTCTCTCTATTTCATTACATAAGGATGGTGGCTTTCCAGGAACTTTCCATGCAAACAGTGGGCTTATGTGCACATGGTTCACATGCTTTCCTTTGTGAGACAGGATTTGGAGGTGTGTTAAGTCAAGTATTTCTTTCAAAAAACTGTGAATTAAAGTTTTAAAAAGAGTGGCTCTAAGCAGATTTCATTAAACAATATCAGCACATAGTCTGCAAATCCAGTGTTTGGGAGAAGTTGGTGTGCTCTGTACCACTTCCCTGGGCAAAGGCTTATTGATGACCCAAAGTATTACTTCTTTATGTCACTTGGTTCATATTTTCCTCTGCAAATTTTATTATTTAACATTCTTTTGATTCCCTCTAGTAAGTTACTGATCTTAGGTGATAGTGTAGTTTCCTGGGACAAAAGCGGCCCTTGGCTGTCTTATTCTTTAAAAAATGTATTTTCTTTGTATGTGCACCAGTGTCTTGCTTGCATATATGTAAGTGCAAAGCTAGTGGAAACCAGAAGAGGGTGTTGAATCCCCTGGAATTCAAGTTAGGGATGGCTGTTAGCCACCGTGTGTAGTGGAAACTGAACCTGGGTCCATTTGTAAGAGCAGCTAGTGCTCTTAACTACTGAGCCATTTCTCTAGTCCCAGAATTCTCTTATTCTTGGTACTCAGTAGGAGAAGATCAGGATTGACTTGGATGGATTCTTCACTGCAAATCAACAATTTACCCAACAAGTGGAGAAGAGCTGATGCTTGAGAAAATTGCTTCTTGTCCAGAATAAAATCTGAATCAGGCAGATATATACATACTACATTTTCTTGTTCTTCTAGGTTCCCTATAGTAAGGCTAAGGAGATGACAGAAATTGCTATAGATGCTGGCTTCCGCCATTTTGATTCAGCTCCTGTCTATGGCACTGAAGCTCACGTAGGAGAGGCCATCCGAACCAAGATTGCAGATGGCACTGTGAGGAGAGAAGACATATTTTACACCTCAAAGGTACTGTATGAATTCATAAATTATGATGTTTGAAGGTTGTTGATATGATCATATCAGTAACTGTTATTGAACTGCTTTACTAACACGTATTTCATATTGCATGCAGTGTTGAACAGAGGAAAGGATGATGGCCGAAAGCATTCCTGTTTTTCGATAAATATAATTTCCTGCCCATGCATTCTATGTCTCAGATCATATGAATGTAATGAAAGTAATCATCTGATAACCTTTAGTAATTTTTGGCAGTAAGGGAGAGTATTATAAGATAAAACTTTTGTGTTAGACAAGCGATAACTAATATGGTTTTCACTGTACAATGTAATGTTCAAATTATTTTCTCTACAATCATGTAAAGTGACATAAGGCAGGAAGCAATAAAAACAGACACCCAACACCAACGTCCTACCTCAGCATGCACATGCACAGGCTAGTGCAACAACACACATATATGCAAACAGCCCATACCCAGAGAGAGAGAGAGAGAGAGA